ATACACAACTACTTATTATCCTTAAAGTTCTCACCCCAACAGCATGGTTTCAGGGAGGGTCACTCTTGTATAACCAATCTGCTGACTGCGGTGGACAGATGGACAACCACTCTTGATCGCAAGGAGAAAGCTGACGTAATTTACTTTGACTTTTCAAAAGATTTTGATAGGGTCAACCATATATGTCTTATCAATAAGCTCAAACAATTAGGAATCAAATCAGCTTCAATTGATTGGCTTACTTCATATATAAAAAACGACGTTTTAAGGTCAGGGTTCACTTCACTTTCTTTCAGGCTATGAAATGTCCTAGTGGAGTACCTCAGGGTTAGTTACTAAGACCTCTTCCCTTTTTGATTTATATAAACGATCTTCCACAACAACAACTTATTGCTTTTGCTGATGATGTGAAACTTTCGAGAGACATACGCAACTAATTGGATATAATAGCACTTCAGGAGGATCTGAATCGACTTCAAAGTTGGGCAGACGACAACGGACTTACCTTTAGCACTTCAAAGTGTAAAGTAGTCCATCTGCGACATGTTACAGACTATGGTTACAACTTAGGAAACTCCTCCATAGAAGTTTCTGAAGTCGAAAAAGATTTAGGAGTGTTGATACCCTACGACTTGAAATCGTACGCTGTGTCAAAAACGCCTTTCAAGCAAACCTTGCACTGGTAACATTGAAGAGCATTTTTGGCCAGTCTGACTGTAGAATTTTCCACATAATCTTCAACAATTTTATTCGTCCCCATTTAGAGTATGGGAACATAGTATTTCATCCCTCCCTCCAAAAGGATAAGGACTATCTGGAACGTATCGAACGTCGATCTACAAAATCAGTTCGGGGACTCAAATTCAAACCTTATGAGGAGCGCATCCAATCACTTAACCTTTACCTGTTAAAGTATACGCGTCTTAGAGGTGGCCTTCTTATGACTTACAGTATCCTTAACACTTCTGGTCATCCCCTTAAAAATCTACTTAAGCTTAGTCACAATACTAACCTTAGGGGTAACACCCAGAAACTGGAGGCATAATATAGCAGAATGGACTGTAGACACAACTAGTAATCCTTAAGAGTTGTCAAATGCTGGAATTCTCTGAAGTAGTTCAAGCCACTTCCTAGGAGTCCTTCAAGAGGAACCTTGACCTATTCTTAAGGACTAAGGACAGTATCCTACAGTGAGTTATTTTTTTCTTTCTCCTCTTTTATCGATAATATACCCAGGTTCCTACCTGGAGGTATTGGTGATTTACTTCTATTAAACACGGAAGCCCGTTAAGCGAAAGCTTCTATTCCGTCAATAAACATTTGGACCACTTTGAATATAAATATGAGTATAATAACTGTACGGTGTTTTGCATTATAAATCTTGTTGGGGTGTATAATTATAGTCTAGTTCAATACATATAGTACTTTGATAATAGACCTAATTCGAAAACGGTAAATTTGTCATTCGGTTGCCTAATCTGTAATATCTTACGTGGACGTCGCATCACTCTCTACACTGACTCATCGTATAGTGACAATTAACAACGTTACTTAGTACGAACACCTGAGAAACCCACGGAAATTCAAATACGGAATGACCAAACGGCCGGATATTTTGAAAGGACTTAACTTATATACCTTACCGTCGCTTTTGACCTTGAAACTGCCAATTCTTTCGATCTCGATTAAACAGCGTTTATTTATGAAAAAGTGAGAATTCTGTATATTCTAAGTGACTAGGCACGCAGAATCTTACTTGTGTTCTTCATTAAGCATTGACTTTGAAAATCTAATGAACAGTATTCTAAGTAAAATTTATTTCGGTACAAAGTACACAAGTCGGTGTTGATTTCAGAAAAAAGTGGGAAATTTAGTGTTTATGTTGTAGAAAAGTGAACAGATGAGTTTTAATTTTTGTGAATGCAAAAGTGTTAACTCTGATACTTTCCCTCAATGGTTAAGTGATGAGGAAGTCTTCAGTAATAAGGATAGTAGGTTGATGAACCTTCAGTCTTCAGTAATAAGGATGGAAGGTCTAGTGACCTATTTTAATCCTTGCAGTTTGTTACACTGTGGATGTCCAATCTCGTCTTGAATATATCAACAGAAGGTGCTGATATTACGTGTTCTGGTAGAGAATTCCAGTAATTCACTACTCGGTGCGAGAAACGAAACACCAGACTTAGACGATTTGATCTCGGTTTTTGGACTTTTTTTGAATTTCCTCTCAAATGCTCAGCCTTAGACGGGAGGAAAAGATAGGACATGTTAGTACCAAGGTCATCGTTCAGGATACGATATGCCAATATTAGATCACCCCGTATTCGCCGGTAAGATAATGGAAATAAGTTGAGGTGTCTCAGTCTGTCTTCATAAGATAGGCTAGATAAGCCTTTTACCATTTTTGTCCCGCGGCGTTGGACTCGTTCCAACATATCCGCCTCATATTTGAAACAAGGACTCGCTGCTTGAATCCCATATTCCAAATGTGGCCGTACGAAAGTTGGGTATAATAATCTAAACATTTCCCCATCCAGATACCGGAAAGATCTACGAATAGACCATAATGCCCTATAGCCTTTTGCAGCAGCAGCCTTACAGTGACTGGTTGTTTTGAGATCATTACTTAGTATGACTCCTAAATCTTTATAGTTTCTTACTTTGGGCAACACTAGTCCACATAATGTGTAGTGATACGAATCATCGTAGTTATTTAATTGCATCACAACACTTTTATTAGGGTTTACTTCTAGTGACCACCCATTCATCCATGCAACTAGTGAGTTAAGATCTTCCTGTAAAACTATTCTGTCTGACATACTATATATGGGTCTCCAAATCTTCATGTCATCACCTGTGTTAATCCTGACAGATTTCCTTCCAATGAAAGTCCAGCTTCTTCTTGAAAATGTTCACTGATGGTGCTGATACCACTTGTTCTGGTAAAGCGTTCCAGTCATTGATCACTCGATGAGAAAAACGGGACCCCACCTTTAGTTTATTAGATCGCGGTTTCAGAACCTTCTTGCTATGACCTCGGAGATTATTAGTGCTGAAGAGAGCAAAAAGATAAGACATATTAACACCCAGATCATAATTAAAGATACGAAATGCCAGTATAAGGTCACCACGTGTCCTACGATAAGATAAGGGGAAAAGGTTTAGACGTTTCAAACGCTCATCGTAAGGGAGTTTAGAAAGACCCTTTGCTAATTTTGTCCTTACACGCTGGACACGCTCAAGCGATTTAGTATCCTTTATCAGACAAGGGCTAACTGCTTGGATGCAGTATTCTAAGTGTGGCCTTACATAGATGGGATATAAAATTCAAAACATATCCTCTTCGAAGCATTTAAATGCTCTGCGAAGCGACCATAGCGCACGATAGCCTTTGGAAACAACCTCATTGCAGTGCGTAGTAGTTTTCAAGTCGTGACTTATAGTTACTCCTAAGTCTTTGTGCTCTTGAACACGTGGAAGAGATGTACCATTAATGGTATAGTGGTAATTAATATCGTGCCCGATGTGCATGAACACGCTTTTCCTGGAATTAACTTCCAGGCGCCAATCATGAGCCCACCTAACTAATTCGTCTAAATCTGCTTGCAGATAACAACGATCAGTCTCATTTCTTATTGTTCTCCAGATTTTAACATCATCCGCAAACAATAACATCGACGACTTAAGTAATAAAGGTAGTTCATTAATATACAAAAGGAAAAGTAGAGGGCCTAAGATGGTGCCTTGGGGTACACCACTTTTGACCGGTTTCAATTCGGATAGCGTTCCATTGACCCTTACTCTCTGTCTGGGGTCACATAAGTAGCTTCCTATCCATTCCTGTATAGCACCTGTTATTCCAAAGCTCGAGAGCTTTTGCATAAGACCTAAGTGTGAAACCTTATCAAACGCTTTGCTAAAATCTATAAATATCACGTCGACAGACTGGCCGTTGTCTAGGGCAGCTGTCCAATCCTCTCTCGCAATGAGTAAGTTAGTCAAGCATGAATGCTTGTTACGAAACCCATGTTGCTCGGGAGTTAACAGATTGTACGAATCTATGTGGCTTAGTAGCTTAACCCGAATTAATTTTTCAAGTAACTTAACTACTATACTGGTCAGGCTAACAGGTCGGTTGTTAGATACGATCCGTCTCTGACCATCCTTAAATATAGGACTAACTATGGCGTCTTTCCAGTCTCTAGGTAGTTGAGCCTGTGAAAGGGACATGTTGAAGAGCATCGTGAGCGGTCTTGAGATAATGTTCGCAAGCGACGACATTAAACGTGGGTGTAACCCATCGGGGCCCGGTATCTTACAAGGTTTTAGGTTAGTTATCAAAGGAAGAACAATATCCTCTGTCACGTGTAAAGGTCCTATGGCTGGTATCTCATTGTCAACGGAAAAAGTAGTTGTAACACTACACGTAGAGTATACTTCACTGAAATAGTTAGCAAATGTCTCCGCTTTCGCTAGATCAGATTCAGCCACATTGTTTATTCCGTGCTGGGGAAAATGGCGATATTTGGATTTCCTGTCGCTTTCATTCACACTGACTTCTTCTGGTTCCTCAAAATCTCTCCGAAGTCCGCCTTTATTTCCCCTTATTTGTTTGTTTCGGCTATTCAGATAATGTCAAGCTATAGTTTTTGTCGTTAAGATATTATTCGTATGTGAACAGCGGTACTTGTCTATATATCACAAATTCATGTGACGTCTAATTAAGCCTCTTACATTTGCATGTATTGGTACACTTATTTTCTTGTCTTATAACGGTGACTGGTAATCCGTTGTTAACATGTGACGGAGATCGGGGCAAACTGTCTTAATATGCATCATATAACTGAGTTTTTTAAATGTTCGTGCAGTTATTTTATTTGCGTGATAGCAATTATCATCTGTGCTTCAATGTTTTTCAGAAACAGTCCAGAGTATTCGGTTACCACAAATTCTATGGATAAATCGAGAACTTAAGAGTACTCTGGCTCAACCAATCTAAAATGATTTTGTTGCAAAAAATACGTGCTCGCTTGTTAATTCTAACCCCCAAAGTACTTTCCAGACTTAATAATCGCTTTTCTGGTCATTACTGTACTGAGTCAAAGTCACCAGTTGGACAAGAACCTATTAATAATAATGTGGAAGAAGATACAGTTTTCGAAGTCTATGATGAACATTGGGAAGTAAACCCAGTTGTTGAGCAGGTTCATATACACCCTAAAATGAGACCCGAAGAAAATCTATCTTTTATACGCGTGAAAAGTATGCTCCTAAAACTTGTCTTCTTAACCCAGTACTTAACTAGATCTTTTTGATATACCAGAATTAGTGAAAGCATTAGAACGTGAAAATATCCGAGATATTGTTTGTCTGAATGTGAATTGTAACTTCCTAGCTCCTTATATGGTTATTGGAAGTGGTGTATCTAAAAGACACATTCAAAACACTGCTGTCCATATACACAAACTGGTGAGTCCTATTCTGTTTTTATGTATTTTCATTGGTAAACTAAACATTTTCATGGTCAGAGCAAAATTTGGGTTTTCAGTCATCATTCCCACCGACCCGTTAATTTCTACTGTTGAATCCCAATTACCTGCTTACAGGAGAGAAATATATTCCTCTTATAAAAGCATAATTAATCTTGTTATAATAGGTACTCCTCATACCTCTCTGTACAGAAATATCCTACCAACAGTGTGCATAACATTCAGTCTGTACAGTGTTTGATTCTAGTATCATTTTCTCTTCAGGCTACGTGAAAAATGATCCCTGGTGTAGGTAGTTGATGAGTATCAATAGCCTACACACCAACAGCTTTTGAGTTACCTAACAAATCCTTCCTACCACTCCCTAAATTTGATGTTTTTCCTATCACCCCTTGGCCTTTTATTTCGCATGCGACCAGTCCTAACGAAATGTTATCCTTCGTTTCTTGAATCTAAACTACTCATCCGAGCTCTTGGTGTTGGAAATATGTATCACAGATGAATTTCACTGGCCAGAATTATAGGGCCCCACAGTAGAAATGTACACTATTTGAGACTGGAAAGCACACCTTACTTGTATTTATCCACTTGAATTCACTTAGGTAATATTAGGAACCAGTAAGGTTCACTTTTCTTGTATCTAGATATTCGTTACCAGCTCCTTGTAAACTCTGATGTAGGCATGGGATCTGGTCTGGGATCAGAAAACTTCTGAATTCGATTTCAACCGATAATAGCTTACGTACTGTTCAAGTAAATAGGATCAAACACCTTAGAGAAGTGAGGATATATTCTGTCGCCTCTTTGTAGCACATATCTACACTCCTACTCACCATAGTCAGCGCAAAATAATATTTTGAATTCCACTGTGATTTTCCTCTCCAACTTGGTGAATCGTTAATGGTAATTGACACACATTTCCAGCAAGAACCGACTTACCAATAAGGAGATGACTACTTAAAAAACCCCAAACATCGACTCAATAGTCAACACAAATAAACCATACAGCTACTCCCCATCGTTGGAGAGGATCGACAGTAAACGGTCGTTCTTTCTGGAATTTATTCTTGTAGTTAAAACTTTCACTGATATACATATGTCTGTCTGTATCTCATTGTACAGACAGATCTTCCAGGGAGTAAATATATCAAGAGTGTGTTAAAAAATAATTTAGGTACTTGTGTGGACTGTGCTACTTAAACGGACAGATATAAGTAGTATGTGTCAAGAATTGAAAGTAGAATTTTTACGAACAAAAGAGGAAAATGACGAAAGAAAAATAGAAAGCAAATAAAATAACAACAGGAATGGGAGAACGACGTAGTCTGTAAGGGACAACTCAACGAAGATATGCGAAAAGTGTATTTAATGCAGTGTTTTCACTTTTTACAAATGCAGTGATTAGCCAGAAAAGGGACTTTTATCCCAAGGTAGCTCAATATAATCACCAAATATTTTTAAAAACACAAATGGCTTCTGTTAAAATTGTTCATCAAAAGATGGAAAAGATCAGTTTATTCGAGCAACTTCCGGATCGACAGTTGCTCGTAAACGCATTCTAATAAACTCCAAACATGACAAGGAACTAAGCCAACACAAATGTTTGCTGATAAAATGTTAACCCAATATCTAATAATAGGCAACACTAGACAACAATTTAGGCTCATCAAACAGAATACCGTCAAAAAGTCATTCATGAAACTATGACCCAAAAAGGCAAGAGAGGGATTCTTTTGGAACAGGCGACTGGAGACGATGTGGAGAAAAAACTGAAGAGCATTTCATTTAGCCCCCAATAGCTCATATTCCAGTTGCCCACTATCTGCTAACGGACAGTGAAACATCAACTTTTAGGGAAGTTGAACTAGCTAACAGAAGTAGAGCAGAAAACTCTGTCGGGTTAATTTCCACTGTCGTTAATATTGATGATCCAATAGTATCAGTTAGATTGATTAGATGCATAAGCTGTTTTAGAACTGTGTGTAATTCCATCAGACTGGTCATAATTGTTCGGACATATTTACTATTGGACTCAAGGCAGACTTGTGACAATTCTGTTCTATGAAGAAAGTAACTATTTGTGTGGTCCATTTGGATGACGCCTTAGGTATCTATTATAATCATAGTATACTACCTCAATCAGGTAATTGTGTCTTTTACACGTTTTTGGTTATCCAGCATCAATGTATACATATCCTGTAACGTTTGTTACCATATTTCTTAACGAATATTATGAACATTATTACCACAACTCAGCAATCTAGTGCAGTTTCGTACATAATAGGTACCAAGCTGCACTTGCTGTGATTGACAAATTAATACCCTGTTGTATAGATCCATGATAAGTAAACAGGTGTCTGTCCTATCTTATTTTTTTGCCGAGACATTTCTCGTAATAGATATCACAATTGTCATTCATTGTGTTCAAAGAAATGGCTGGAGTTACAAGTACGAAGACCAATAAACTTAGTTATAATTCAAAATCTTTTCGAAATATAAAATTCAACTTATTAGATAGGATTAGTAAGGTGATTCGGTACTTGGTAAATTATTTGCTATCTAAATGTACCTATTATTGTTGAAGAATTATGACATCAGTAGAAAATGCTAAATGATAAAAATGATGTTGAAAGTAGTCCCATAAATAAATGGCAATATTCTATTGATGACTGCATTAACAGAGGTAGATGATATAGGGTATGAATCTGAACACTTAATATGGAGCTAGTGACTCTATTTGAACGTTTAAGTCACCTGATGTTGAAGGATCCGATTTAGCTGGTTATCCAATCTCGGCATCATGAACCACTACTGTCGCATTCTTCCTCACGAAGTACACCTTGACCACTGGATTTCACTTGACTTGACTGTTGCAAATAAATATATTGCGAAAAAAATTAGGACCAAATGTACGGAAGTAGAAATTACCGAAGACTTCTAGCACCCTGTAAGTCTGTCCACCAGCCCTAATCGGTAAAAAAAAATAGGCTGACTTGCGTATTCTGACTTATCTCTAAGTGAGCATTTAGTCGTTAGGAGTTTATCCTTTTACTAGCAATATAGCCAAACATAGACTTACACATAAATACTGATCTGTGGTAAAATAGGTAGGCTTGCATTAGTGAGAAGAAATTTATGTAAGCGAAATAAGCGTTTGGTTGACATGCTTGGTCGAATTGCGGGACTGACGCATATGTCCCAGGTATATAATGTAGATATTTTATTGCATAGCATTCTAACACACCACCTAACACCTCTGTGAGCCATTCAAATATGATACGTTAGTCTCGTAAGGTGTTCTCATTCTTGTTCATTCTCAAGTCAATTCCTTAATCACTTATCAAGTGATAAATCCTCGTCCTAATAGTTATACTATGCTTGGGAGGTCTTTGTGTAATGTTAAACTTTTCTCTACAATCCCTCCGTAAATATGATCATATTTATAAGTTCACTTTTTTTCTATTAAATATCAATCCTAGCTGAAATACAAATTGAGGGATACAAGTATTCCACTGCCACTGTTCCAGGGAATCGATGGGTCCTGCGAATGGATAGCTGTCGATATGAGTAAGCGAAATCAAACTGAATACATTTTATTTCTGATGAGCCTAAAAAAAATCGAAGAGACCAATCCACCAATATGTAATTTATTCCACATCTAGAATGGTTAGAATATATCATGTGATCAGTAAATAGTTTAGCCAGTTCAAATGCTAAATGATAGTGAGTTCTATTCGAATTATGATGATCTGCTATAAGCAACGTAGCACCTGAAGTAATTCTACGTTATAAGCAGAAATGAATGGTGGTTAGCAGTGGAATCCAGGATGCGCGTTTCGTCCCAGTTAGGACTTGTCAGCTGGATGAGCCTGAGTTGATGTTCACTCCGAGACTCGAACCCAGTACCGTTCGCTTCAAATGCCATCGCGTTGCCAACTTAGCTACTGAGCCCAGATGGCCACTAGCATATGCAATGGGGTGAAGTTTAACTCATTTTCGCATTGGTTGTTTGAATCTTCCCATTGAATTTTAGGACTGCAACTGACCAGTCTCCTATTGGTACACGTCCATCCTGTGCGGACTGCCCTAAACCTCTCTGCTTATAATTTGACGCAATATCGAGGTAATCCTCACAGGATGCACATATGCCATTAGGAGACTGGTCAGTTGCAGTCGTAAAATTCAATGGAAAGATTCAAACAGCCAATACAAAAATGAATTAATTCTGCATTAGTTTGAGTTGTCATATTTCATGTCAGTAGACATCGATAGGAAATTAGAAAGGCGAAACTTAAAGGAGTCAAAATACTGTCATCCAGTGTAGTTTGGGAAAAATAAATTTCAGGACTGAGAAGTAATTGTAACATTCAAGCCTAAGATTTGGAAGACGACGATTAAGAATGAATACATTTACGCCAGTGTGACCGATCTCGAGCTATGTCACACCTATCACGATTATAATTAGATAATTTTACAAAAAAATGATAGTTCGTAAATTTTTGGCAAACAGACTCGTACTCTTTATTCATTGTATAACAGTAAATGATGTACACATATAGTGGATTGCAATAATTAATGATAGTTTTGAGTCTAACCAACGTGAAGATAAGTGACTAAAAAGGTACATCAAACTATCCATCTCCGTCTTCTCAAAGACGCCTTTTTTGTAGTGATCGAATAGATATTAAAATAAATAGTATCCAAATATGTATGTGGTGAGATTCTCTTGAAATAAATCCAATTGATTTGTAAGACTACCTAGACATGTAACACCGTCATCAGTAGCTGCTTGTATACTTAAATATCATGTGTAAATCGTACTTTTTTAGGGTGTGCAGTTGCACTTATCCTCTTTTATGGTTTTAGTTATTCTTAATTTGTTTAGTTGTCGGAAGTAGTTAGTAGAAAATCATAGATCTAGGTCCCGTGCTAGTTGGCGCTCGTCATCGGGGGTTAATTGTAATCTTGAGGGGGCTGGTGCTCCCTGTGGGATTTAAATTTGTGTCACTTAATTCACTAGTCTGACATGTTACTATTGAGCTATTCAGGCAGCGAATGATAAATGTACAATTGATTGATCACTGATTAGTAATAAATAACATATTTGTTCAGTCCTCTAATGTTGATAGAATTCGGTCTATGAAGTTGTAATGTGGTCACTAGTCCAACTGACTCGACATTGCATGCACTACGTTCTGATGTTAGGTTGTTTTGGGAAGTCATTCCCGAATTTCCATCTTCCTATTGCATCTGCTCCTTTCGAACCGTAATATTCACGTTTATATTTTTACTGTTCTAAATAATATTTACTATTCTATGCTTCTTATCTTGCTGGGTACTTTGTCCTGTGCCGAATTCGTAGGATGCGGCAACTTAGACTGATACACCCCCCTGTATCAATAATGACTGAGTCTAAGGAAATCCCATAATTAGTGTAATTACATTCCAGCTCTGAAAATACCACACCCTATCTGACAGAGTCCTATCGCCGGCGATGAGGCCTTAAATATACGGGGCTAGCACAACTAAAAATACCAAAGGGCCGTGCATGACTAGCCTCAAACAGTTGTCATCTAAGCGCTACCATCACACTTCTGGGTCGTCGTGACCACTTTTAACCCAGCTGCTTTTTCAGGTTCCTTAAAAAGCACTCTTTTAGGGCTGGGCAATCGGGAAAGGACAATCACTCTAACAGCACTGGAGATCACTTAATGATTTGCGTCTGTGTAAAGTTAATGATGATAACTTCAAACTAACTTTTTATCTTTGTGTCTTCTTTTCAGATACCATTTTCCTTCATCTATTTTTACCTGCTACAAGATTAAAATACGACTTAGAATCGCTCTGGGGCGCTGGTCCACAATATGATGACCAACTTTTTCAGAAGAACACAGCAGAATTATCGAATAGAAACTTTAATTGGGAACAATTATTATCCGAAATTCAACAGGCCAAACAATCTTTTTAATAAGTATCAACATGTTGACTGAAATTAAGAGAAAAACTTTACGAATATATGTATATCCTATTTCGATCATATTTCAAAGTAGACACAGGCTCTATCTATGTTCAATGAAGTTTCTAGCGAACTTTTATTTTATTAATTACTATCGATATCTCGTCAGAGTATTTAATCTTTCTTTTCAGATTAAAGAGTAGGTATCCTTGTGATGTGATCAATAAGTTGTCTTTTAACGTACTGATTATTTCATGAAAACTACTATTTCCCAAAATGATCATTCAATTTGAGTGAGGAAGATAATGACAAGATAAAGTTCTTAATATCACAATGACAATCCGTTGGGATTTTTCTCTAAGAAATTGCTTCGTCAATACTACTGACTGTAAACTCTATTCTTGATCCGTAAGGAATGACTAATGCATATCGAGCACTTGGATCAATTAAGGTAATCAAAACTGTTATTCACAGACCAGTCATTGATGAAATCTTAGGCGTGATTGATTCAGAAATTTTAGTTCAATGACAAATTCCGTTTGTGTGATGTTACCTACATTAGGGACATTGTAGTTGAGAATAGGTAAACTGCATATCAATTAAAGTATAGGAGGCATAACTTGTAGCTTCAATTTGGTATAGTGAAGATTATTAGGTTAGGATGGATAGGATGAGTACAGTGTCGCGTACAATAATTTAGAGTAAAATTGTAGTGACGGACAATTCGGATTAGTCAGTCAAGTAACACTAAACTACACAAATATTAATTGCTAATTTAACCAAGTTTTCAGAGTGTAACCTCATCTCAGCTGACGTTAAACAAATAGTGTAGACCGACTTCAAGCGATAATGTCTTAAAGATGACACTAGGGACATGGATTATACTATATCCGCTCGTTCGAATATCGGTTTAGTTAGAACTATTAATCAATAAGCTATGACTATGCTTTGTCTGTGAGAATTTATTCACACAAATTGTATTATTAATCTTGGTGAGGTTCCGTTCTGTGAGCCGATGATCTATCCAAAAAACAATGAAAGTTTCATAATCAAAACATCGAGTACAGAGAATGCAACTTCACCAGAGTCATTTAACCGAGCTACGCATATTTTCCACCATTTCGTTATTAATTTTCTTGAACAGCTAAGTGTATAGCATAACACATGAATTTTAACAATGTTATTAAAATGTATTACGATTTGAGTAAAGTTATTTATTTACAATTTGTATACAAAAATTTACAATGTAAATAACTCGAAATACAAAAATATTAATATTATACTCCTTAGTGTTTATTTATTGTCTAATAAAAACCAGATCTTCAATACTTCTTTACTTCATTTGAATTCAATTATTTCAGGTGTTTTTTTTTCTTGAAAAAATATGTACGATAGGATGTATCATCATCTTGATACTAATCAAAACGATGTAGAATTTTGTATATGGCTATACATTAATTCCACTCTCTGATGATACAAAAGAAAATGAGGAATTGTATTTAATTTTTTCCAATGTAGAGTAAACATAAAGATCTGGATTCAATGCTTATGAATGTGTTATTATTGTCGTCATAACATCAAGTCATGATCACCTATTACCATTGGGAGTTAATGGGGATAACATTAAGTCCATCGATAACTTTTCAAATGATTGTATTCTAGTTTTACATATAAATTTTTTAATAGCATTCTGAAAAGAATAAATATACATGTTAGTAATAGGAGGTTTATGAATATTGTTCAGTGTGAAGAATGATTTTAGCTAGATACAACCATCGAAAACTAGAACATATTGAACAGCTGCCTAATTTTAGTGGATGATGTTAAAAAGTCGTGTTAGGACAAGACAGTCATCCTCATTGTCCTCTCCCCTTTGGTTTTCTATGGTCGTTTAGATTACGTCCATCTGTGATGTAAATTACGGTGAAAAATGGTTCTAAGGATGAAATTAGGATCATTTTAAGTGAGATGTGTTATATTACATAATTATGGTGTCATCTAAAGCGGTAAAGAGCACTTAGACCAGATACCAATAAATTGCTGGTCTGATGCTTTACAAGCTGAAACACGAAAAGACCAACTGTTAGAAATATTATTATTGTATTTTAACTGTAATTTGAAGTAGAAGCTTCACTGTTTGGTAATTTTATACAACTTTACGGGCCGATTTCATTGCAGTCCCTCAAACTTTACAGAGTTTGAACTTCATTATTCGTGGAGGTCTGACATTGTTTATGACTGATTGGGAAACAATGGTTTGTTGACGTTGAAGCAATTGGGATCTAACTAATAATTCGCTCGTTCGAAACCCACATGTACTTCGATTTGAGCAACAGTGTATCATGAGTCTTGAAGCCAAGTATATAGACCTAAACTTAGTAAATGGCTTACGCAATGATTGATTTGTTCATAAATTAATTCTGATATGACTTATACTTGAAGAATATTAGTCAACGAATACGTATTTCGCCCTTAATAACCATTACTAGTATCCATATAACTAAGCAGAACAAGTTAGCAAGCGGTACCACATATGTTTGGGAAGTATCTGGGAATTGTTTCTGTGACACATGATTTCATTTTCTACAAGATGTTTTCAATGATGTAGTGGTTAAATGAGGATCTGTAGTAGATACTATATTTTCAGTCAACGAATCATAGGTTTGAATACTGTTTCAACTACTTCGGGGTTTAAACAGACGGGTTACACGACAATACCCCATAGAATAAGCGTGATTGTACGAGCTAAATACTTTAACATTCACTTTATTAGGTACATCAAGTATCAACTAGCCTTGTCGCAATAGTTTCAAACTTGTATTATACATTCGAAAACTTAAATGAAACTAAACCTCTTCAAAGTTTGGATTTATCAGGATGACGTTCTAACAGCTTTACTTGGAGCATACACCTTCACAAATCATTTTTTGTCTGAATAGATTTAGATTCATTATATAAACTGAGTTAACAATTTACATACGGATTTTATTGGGAGGTTTAATTCGTACAAAGTAAATCGTTGCACTACATAACAATTCACTGGTTTGATCTGCTGATTAGTATGTTCAGAATATAATATTCTCAGTCGCTTGGTATTTCAATCTATATGTCTCTATACCGTTGGTAGTCGTTGAATTGATGGTGTTTTAATTGAATGGTTATATGAAGTTACTCAGCATAATAACATCTAACAAAGTTATGAGTCTCATAAGATATACGCTTTCATCCAATAATGTCGTCTACGTGATAGAAAATGAAAAGTCTACAAGCACATCCCTGAGAATTTAGAGGCGAGATTATTTTTAGTCTCCAGCCAAGTTATTTAATTTGTTTACCTTTGAAGAGTTAGTCGCTACCACCGATGAAGATGATAAATTTCTATAAACAATCACATGACACTAGGTGATCGAATGAATGAAGCCTTTGGTTATATGATGTAATTAATAAAATAACTTTTCCCAGCGAACAACCAATACAATACTCGTCAATCGGTATGGTTGAATATCGTTTATTCGCATTAAAAATAAAACTGATATGGGACAACGTCTCAGACTATGGAGCTGACTGACGTGGGTTTGAGTCCACTAATTACCCCAGAATTCCAGGTACAGCTTAATGGCGAGCGCCAACTAATGCAAAACCTAGGTTTAGGGTTTCCTGCTTACTACTTCGAATCACCTTACATCAAAACATAGTCCACACGATATACAGTTACTTAAACTAGTGGCCATTAAATAACTTGATTAATAGATTTCGACCAATGCTATGAACTGGACGAACATACAATTGGTCAATACTCAATGACCTGTCAATGGAAATATGCTCTTCGGTTACAAAATTTATCTTTAAGTGAGAGATTGTTGTCAATAAAATGCTTGGTCAAAAATACTATTTCTAATACTTAGTTAAGTACTAATCTATATAAAAGTTTTATTTTATTAGCAAACCAAAAATAAACCATAGTAATAATTATATGAAATTATAAAATGAACTTAGAACAAGCAAATATATGGATAGATTACGTTAAGGTAAGTCTAGTTTAACTTACCATCATTCTAATATCTACTCTACTTTGTGTAGTACACCAACGCCTACATGCAGATGGTTGCATTCGAAGTAAATGGTCGGCGCCTCCAATAACTAATAAATCAAAAGTTGGTGAAATCGAATTCAATTCATCATGAACAACAGTAGTAGTAGTAGTAGGGGTAATGCTAGATGACCCATTTATTTTATGCCGAAAATGATTAGTATAATTCATATGAATTAAATTATGATTGTCATTATTATCAATTTGAGAAATTAGCTGACGTTGTTTTCGTCTAGCATTGAATAATCTCTTTCGAAATTCAATAGCTTCTTTATAACCACCAAGTCGACTTCTAGCGCCTGCAATAAATAATATTGGTAAAGCTGGTATCGATAAGAGTGGATCATTCAATTCCCCTCGTTTACCTCTTAAACCAATTAATGGTAAACCAATACAAATAATTCCATTTATACTTGTTCGATTGGTATAATTATTTTCTGAACGACAATTATTCAGTGAAAGTATATGTATAACAGATAATAACATAAGTAACGAACCAACACCGAAGCTAACTAGATAAATAGATTCATTTTTGTATTCATCAAGCTGTAAAAATAAGGGAAAGTAACATTTAACAATAAAAAATTTATTAGAAGGGATCGTGTGGAGATTAGTTTAATTTATAAGTTGTACTTGATATAGATCGATTTGTTATAGTATGAAACTGCTTAACACTGTACATCAATGATCCTGCGATAGATCAGAACCAGCACCTTTCGGGTTATCATAACTGTACGGTTAATCGGTGTCCCGATTATTGTACTATTTAAACTTGGATTAATTTTCATTCGGTTATTTTCTGAAGAAGTGGCTTACAATGACTCACGAAAGGTCAGAAAATCTAATTTTTCTACTCATTGAGATATTAAAAATATATTATTTATCTCAATGAGTTTGTTGATTCGAACTTTGCACGATATGAAAATGTTTGTTCTATCGGCAGTTGTGAAGACAAGACATTAAAAAGTTACAATTTGTGGAAGACTTTACAATTGAAAGTTCTTAAAGTAGAAAAAAGCAAGATTATATTATACCGATGAATCTAAAAGAACCAATCGGATTTAAGATAGCGTCCATCTAATTTTGTGCAAAATTCAAAACGTTCTGAAGGATAGCAAAGAATAGGATAAATGTAGGTAACAAATACGTTTATCGATGTTCAGTATGCATTCGTTATCACACATTTTCGCATATTTTTCCGTATATCTAGTGAATGAGTGACTGGTATAAAAGCATAATTCTCACTAAGGTTTTAATTTTAAGCCTAAACTTTCCTTCCATTTGTTTTTCTAGTCGAGAAGTTGGGATGTGTGACAGTAGTGTATTTACGGGAGATATATGAGCATAAATTTAGGTGGTTGGAATGAGATCATCCCCAATGAAAACTATTGCTTTTATATGCAGCACTCATACACTAAACAGACAGAAAAATGATAGGAAATGCTAAATATTCAACTTTTATTGAACACTGAAAGGGGATGACTTTCCTCACACGATAACATATATTTTACCAAAAAAAAATAAGCCAAATTAGTTCATAGTTTGAAATAGCTTGAAATTGTCAAAAAACAAATTTCATGCAAATGCATGGTGAATTTGCCATAGTGCGTAAGCCAAATTAAAAAGACATACACGCTTTTGACACAGACTGTACCTGAACGTAAATGATGCTTTTTAAGGAATACTCAAGTGTTTTTATAGTCAGAAAGTATTCTCAAACTCTAAACACATATTGTGGCGCTAACACCTGATTCTATGACTTCCAACCTTAACAATTGTAATCTTGACTACTAAATCTAGTTGGATTTCTAATTATTAAGCTTACCTTTTATTCTTTTATTTATCATGTTGAAACTGTTTATCCATCGTAATTTGATTACTTTTTATTAGAAATTGTTTTGTAACTCAACACTATTTGACTGACAAGCCCTCAAAGTTGTCGTTATAATATAGTAGTCGTCTAACCATAAAAGTATAGAATTCAGCAGATTGACAAAAAAATATTTATGTAAAGAAATGGCAAGTGCTTTAACAAATAGCCGCCTACTTCAGAAGAGATCTTGTTGAAGTAAGTCGATAAAAACAACAGTGAATCATTCAAAAATATACACAATGGGTGGGTAAAAAAACCCGCACATATTCTCACTTACTAAATTAATAACACGTCGGACAAATAATCGTAATCGAAGTCTCATACTATCACATATTTGTTCTTCATGATCTTCTAAATTAATTTGTCCAATTTCACCAAGTAAACTGAGTAATTTTTGTAATCGTTTACTATCACGTGGTGCTGGAAAAGTCATACATGCTAGAATTATTCCATCGCCAATTGTTGAACGATTTAAAGATATCTGAGTAGGTATAGTCTTTGTAATGATTGATCGTGAAGAAGACTGCAACTATGGTAAATATTGTAGAGAAAGTGAAACTATTAAAATGATGAGAAAGAATAAAAAAGTCTTCAGCTTATCAGAAAGATATAACTTTAAATTCGCAAAGTTAAATCAGTTAGTGATTATGATTAGACCATTTCTTTATGATGCCTGAAAATAAAGGATCATTTAATGTTGTATGACGTTTTTTAATCTAGAATTATTCATCTATGATTTGAGAAGCAATCACTAATTATACTATTTTGTGTAAAAATAGTAGCTTTAATTATCTAATACATTAACTATTTATTTATTTAAACAAAAATATTAGTACAAGGCGGCAATAAATATATTTGCGCCAAGCTTTACTATTTGATTTGTGTGAGGCCTGGGATACAGTCCAGGTGCCCGAACAGATACAAATGGTTTTCTTAAGGGGCCATTGATTTAAACACAAACAATGGTATAAGGAGGCATACAACCACCTCTCTCCCATTGTTCCATTCAAGCAGTGGGGTTAAACAGGGTTGCCCAATCTCACCATTCCTCTTCAACTTTGCTACCGATGACGTTCTGGAAACAGCCCTGATGGATGTAGGTAATGGCGGTGTTGATCTGTTGCCTTAAGAAAGACTTCTCGACCTTGAGTATGCGGATGATATTGTCTTATTATTGTGCGATGATACCCAAGTCATTCAATCCGCACTTAATCAGTTGACAATTAGTGTCCGTAGGTATGGTATGTGCTTTGCACCTTTGAAGTGCAAAGTACTTTGACAAGACTGGTAGGATTTTAATCCTGCACTCACCTTGTATAGTTAGCAGATTGAGGTAGTCGAGAAGTTCGTGTATTTAGGTAGTTGAGTATGTGGAAGGAAGGCTGTACTGAACCTTTGTGATGCTGTTTCCTCAGTTGTCCAGTGCTTCCTTAGCTTCAGTTTTATCTTGGCAACCAAGGAGCAACTGCTTGATGCCGGTCACGCAAGGCCTTTTTGTGAGAGGTTTTTGACGTGTTAGCTTCGTTATTCAAAGGGCCTTACCGCCGGAGACGGAAATCCGTGAGGTAAGGTGAAGCGTGACATTTTCACGGTCGACCTTTTCTAACCACTTCCTTCCTTGTGGGAAGGCAGCATCGCCCCAGATGCTGGTTGTCCGAGGGAAACACCTTACTGCTGTCACACACCCCTACAGTCAGCAGTACGAATTCGCGCTCAGACCTTGAGTTGCTGCTTTTAGTCTTACGGTTCTCCAATCGACCTGCCTGGCATGGTAGAACCTACAGGAACATATGTTCTAGCCAATATAGCTCGGTTGGCTCATCACGATAGGCAAGCCCGACCACCACGTCAAGGTAGCAGCTGCGGTCGGGAATATTATATATATATATATATATAATGTTGTGATTGGATTATCGTTTTCCTCATCTCTCAGCTAGCTACCCAGACGTCTTCATCTGCTTAGGAATTTGAAACACTCGTGTAACGAAACAAAAGTAAATTAGCCAGAATAACTACATTTTGTTATCCAACTGATGGACGTGTTTGTGCTCAAATATCAAAATGGTAGTGTTTACATTTATCCTGTTTAAAATCTACTAATCACGTATAAAAATTGTCGTTTTGTCAAATACCCAAATTATTTTAAAATTAAGTTTTGGAAAACAATTTCAAACTTTAAATATATTATCTCTATTTAATGTCTTACATCAACTCGGCGCTCAAATACTGTGAAACTAATCGCTCTAATTTAGACGAGAGTTATTATAAATTTCAAACTTTATTGTAAAGAAAATTTTTTTCTTGACAAACTAATGTTCTCATCCTACGAACCTTTGAAAATCAGTCACTGCATGATAAATTTTTCGTCGTCATCGTTGTAGTTGTTTAGAATTAGTGAAATAGAAATAAACGGTACAACTTACCAAAGTTTTTTTTACACCGTCGTTGCATTCGTCATTGATAGATGATCTGAAGTCAGATAAAAATCGATTAACTGCTACATCATTCACATAGCGTTCTTGTAGAGTCGCATTTAGCACTTTCAATAATGGATTAACCTAACAATAAAATAATAATAAAATTTCTTGTTATTTGTTTGTTAACCAAAAGATGAGTATACTGTGCAGTAGTATGTAGTGATCGACTTTAAGACTGTGTAGGTGACCTTTAATAATAGAGGATATTCATAAGTGGCTAGTATTTGATTGTAAATGTTTTTGAACGATTGTTTGAGTACGTTAAGACTATTGAGTAATCGATGTTTAGGCTACACGCATAGGGTAATAAATAAAGATTATGAGTGAATTCACAAGACCCCCAAATTTCCTGGTACGGTCGAGAGTGGGGAGAGTCAGCTCTCCCTCTCCAAATGGTCACACATGGCCACATGCGTATATATATATAAACGCTAACCAGAAAAAGATATTCAAACTATTAAAACTCTGCCCTCTAAATTGAAGGAAGAATTATGACGCCTCATGATGAAAGCCGAGACTATTCAGAAGTCACAAGGCCGATCCGCCTTCTAACGACCAGAACAATTAATATAGGTACATGGAATGTTTAGACAATGTGGAAGACCGGGACGACCAACCAAATAGCTCCGAAAATGAAGAGAAACAACTTAGAGATTCTCGGGATAAATGGAACCCACTGGATCCAAGCTGGACAAGCGACCAATGACGACAATAAAGATCACTTCTACGAAAGGCTTCAATTAACCATAGCAAAGTACTAAGAAAAGATCTGACCATTCTGATAGGAGATCTAAACGCCGAAGTCGGAGTGGACAACGCCGGATATGAAGATATCATCAAACCACATGGACTGACTGAGAGGAACGAACGAGAATGGTGATAGATTTGCAACTTTACGTGCATTCAACAAAGTCGTTATGGGCGACACTATTTTCCCCCACAAACGTATACACAAAGCTACACGGACATCATCGAATCACACTACACAGATCGATCATATCTGCATTATTAAAAAATTCGCAAGGTCCATGGATGACGTGAGAACCAAGGAAGGAGCTGACATAGCTTAAAATCACCACCAGCTGGCGGTCGTCAAGATGAAACTGAAGCTAAAGAAGCACTGGACAACTGTAGAAACAGCATCATAAAGGTTCAGTACTGTTATGTTCCGATAACAATCGTGAGTGGTAGCTTTGGGATCCATTCATGGACCAATATTATGCATATATTTTTTTATCGTAGAATTGCTAAGTAACAGAACTATTCGTGTTCATTTTCCCCTTATTATAAGCATCATTTTGAACTATAAACTAATATTATACGGTTTACCATTCTTGAGTTATTTCTAATCTATTAATTGCTGCCTCCCACATTTGGCTGAATCTCGTACAAATGTTATTTTCTATTTTATTGGTACGATGTGGTCAGTCTATTTGGTATATAAACTCAGTGTGTTTGAAATACAATGATTCATACCACAGAGGCTGTTATTGGTGTTCTGGACTTAACTGGCTGGGGCTAGGCAGAAAGCAGGACCGATACGTACTCTAGACTGCTCGTACGGATTCGTGTGTCACTGTTCCAATCGATAATTCGCTGCTCTCTGATTGGCGGTCTTATCACGTCATACATTAACTGGGCATCCACTCGGCCACAAGATATAACAAGTACAGCCTTCCTTCCACATACTCAGCTACCTAAATACACGAACTTCTCGACTACCTCAATCTGCTAACTATACAGGGTGAGTGCAGGATTAAAATCCTACCAGTCTTGTCAAAGTACTTTGCACTTCAAAGGTGCAAAGCACATACCATACCTACGGACACTAATTGTCAACTGATTAAGTGCGGATTGAATGACTTGGGTATCATCGCACAATAATAAGACAATATCATCCGCATACTCAAGGTCGAGAAGTCTTTCTTAAGGCAACAGATCAACACCGCCATTACCTACATCCATCAGGGCTGTTTCCAGAACGTCATCGGTAGCAAAGTTGAAGAGGAATGGTGAGATTGGGCAACCCTGTTTAACCCCACTGCTTGAATGGAACAATGGGAGAGAGGTGGTTGTATGCCCTCACTCTGCCTGAGCTGTTCGTATATAGGGCCTTTAAGATGTTAATAAACTTCTCAGGTACACCCCTCTTCAATAGACAATAACAGAGAACAGCCCTGTCCAACGAATCAAGGGTGGCTCTGATATCAAGAAACGCTATGATTGCTGACCTGTGATAAGTATGACGGTGTCCTAACTTTTGGTGGAGGGCGGAGATACAATCAATACATCGTCGACCAGGACGAAAACCAGTCTGCTCCTCGCGAGTCAACCTTTCTCGGAATTTGAACAACCTACGAAATATGACGAGCCAATAGTTTGGATTCTATGGGAAGTAGACTTATAGCCCGATAATTGTTCAATAGATTATGTGAACCTTTTTTAAAGATAGGAACAACTATCGACACATCCCACGATGTTGGAACCAGACGTTTATAAACAATGTAGTCGGTTCCCCAACCAGAAGGTTGCCACTATCTCGAAAAACGGGCCACAGGTAAGCTATCTGGGCCTAGTGATTTGTGGAGCTTTAAGAGTTGGATTTCCTTAAGGACTGCGATCTCGTTAGATGAATCAGTCGTCACGGGCCACGGAGGGCAGAACAATCTGATCGATGTTGCCGGAGCAGCAGGCTACTTGAACCGCCCTTCGAAAAACTCTGCCCATCGTCCAAGCCGTCGATAGATGTTAGTGGTTGGCATCCCGTCATCTTCACAGATTGTTTCACTCACACCAGACTTCTTGCTGCCAGTGACTCGGATGAGTCGAAAGAGCTTCCAGAAATTATCAGATGCAGTTGTTGCTTCTACCTCATTGGCACGCTCCGACCACCAGGCTTCTCGGTTCTTACTCAAGACTCGCCCAATTTCATTACGTGACAGTCGTCGTTTGTGGTCAAACTCACAGTCACCAGGAGTAAATTGACGAGTCTCGGTAAGTTGTAAGGAGTCTGAAAAAACCTAGTGCTTATAATTGGGACGTTTCGCGAAGCTGTAAGCGACTTTACTCCTCATTTTCATGGCGTCATACGATTGCAACCAATCCTCATTTACACTTTTCTTTGGAATGTTACCTGGCCTTGAACCTAGATTGGTTTGATATTTAGTTGCAGCAGAAGTTGCGACCAATTTACTGACATCAATCTGTTTAGGACGATGAATTTGTTGACCAATGAAAAGTAAGTTAAGAGTGGCGCAGAACAGGGCATGATCAGAGTACAGATAGGTACTCCAAAAGGAGCGGCAGTCTTGTACACAACCACGCCAGCGGGAGCTGATCGCGATGTGATCAATATGTGTCCAGGCTTGAGATGCAGAGGGAGGACGCCAGGCGGCACATCGGCGATGACTATGTCGGTAGTTAGTGCTAGCCAGAAATAGGTTGTGGTCTGCGCACAGTTGCAGTAGACAGTCACCGTTATTTGACATGCGATCAACAAGTCCCCATCGACCATCTAAACTACTCTGTTCTGTGCCTAGACGCCTGATCTAAGCATTCAACTCTCCGGCTATTGCCACAATATCTGTCGAACGCACTTTCTGGAGAACAGTTAAGTGGTGGTAGAATTCACTCTTGATTGCATCCAGGCTGCAATCTGTCAGAGTGTAGGCGATGACAAAAAGATATTATTTCTCACACCGATTTCTTCTTACTTTGATAGAACTTCCTAGTCTAACAGCATATAATAGACTGTTAATGGGAATCCAACCGACCAGTTCTGCCTCAGCTCTAGCGTTTAGTGCGACACCAACGCCAGCAAAACCAGACAAAGATGCCACAGGGTCCCCGGATAAATGCACGTAAAACAAGGTTTTCGAAGTGACAGATGGAGAGCGAATTCGAAGTACTTCACTAGAGTCTTGAATACGGATCTCGGATAGACAACAGACGTCGATATTAAGACTTTCTAAAGACATAGCCAACCCTACCTGTTGTCCGATCTGTATTAGTGTGCGAACGTTGGAGGTAGCCAGTTTGAATGGCGTACGTGGCTTCAGAAAGACTAGTTCAGTATACGTATTCGGTGGTAGCATTCAGTTTTGACCAAGCAGTGACTGGAGATCTTTAGATTCGGATTATTGTCACATGTATTTTGTTAGTTTATTTCTCTAGACATATCCTCATAATTTTCGATTCGCACTAAGAAATTTGACTCTAAAGTATTTGATCAAACGGAATTTTTATAATTTCCTCAGGAATCGTATCTCCTTCTCAAGGATAACACATGAATGTAAATCAATTGTAGATATATTTTAAGTGTTAGGACATTGAACAATAGTCATTATTACTTCTCACCTTATTTTTTCTCCATAATATGCAAAAAACTGAACAATAAATTGGTAACAGAGTTTCTGGAAGATTTTTCACACACCAAAGGTGAATGCTGTGACATTTTTCTATGTGCTAATAAAATTAAAACACAATACTTCTTTAAAACAATAAATAACATTTACTGAGAAATAGTTAAAAATTTAGCTGTTTGTGAAGATGAGATATCAAACATACTATTGATTACCAATTGATATTACTACCAACAATCCGTATGAATGGGATTTTAAATACAAAAGAGATGCATGTATAAGACTAACTGTTCTCTCTAAATGATGAATACGTATTTATCCAATCAGATTCACGAACAACTAGGATCTATTGGTTTCTTGATTGGTCTAAAGTCACTTTCACATAAATTGAGAAAAGAGTCAGTTAAAATGATTACTAATACACTGAGTTAGAGTAAAAAGTAACAGACATTTATCAAAGATATTTACACGGTAGCAATATGTGATATACAGATCTGAAAGGAATTAGTACTGCCTAAATTTTTTCAACGACAAAAGTCTACCGAACGTTTTTGTTTTGAGTGACATTTTGTAGCACTAACATATCAACATCAGGACTAAACGACCTAATCAATTCTTAGTTGGTATTTAGCTTCCATTACTGAAATCCGCATAGTGACACTGCTAAGTGTTTTTAGATATTTAGAATCAATAAACCATATTGATTAAAGCTTGTATACAAACTTTCACAAAAAAAATACTACTGAGGCTAACAATTGAGTATATTCCTAAAATACTCCACCAACGTTGTGGTTGTAATAAAAATTTAAACGATTTCTTAAGTACATAACGTTTTGGTTTGAACGAATAAGTGTTATACCTGCAAGTTTTATGTCGTTTAGTTACGTTTCATTCAAGAGACAAGATTGCCTCCAAATCCTATAGTACGGCCAAAGGTGTGGAGAGTCAGCTATCCCTATCCAAATGCTCTCACATGGCCACGCGCATACAACCACTGACAGAAAAGTCCTATTCACTGCATTCTCGTGACATGGGTGTTGTTTGAGGAATTGATGTAGCGAAAAGCGAATGTCCGGGGCCTTAACTAGGTTGGTGGATATAAAGGATCCACCCAGGAGAATCGGAAAACCTTGATTCCAAACCAATGGTGCACATTGGCTCCAGTATCCTGAAGGAACAAATGGTGTATGAATCAATCGTTGGTCACTGTTTGCCATAAGATTGCATCTCTTAAAGTTGCTCAACTGCCTTGTGGATCAGACCTTTAGGTCGAAGGCTCCGGATGTGGCTCCCTAAGAAAATCACCTGCTTCGGTCTGGGCACCCGAGCAGTATTCCAGCCCACCCACAAATAAACCGACTTGTATGGCGCATTTGTATTCGGTGCCCTTTTGTATTAATATTTATTTGTTCAAATAAATAATAATAATAAATAAAGACAAATATTTCAATTACTTTTATATGATTATTTTTAGATATCACCAAAGCCTTATGAAATACACCATAAAGTGCATAGAACTTTTCTATCCTACCACTTATTATTCAATATTTCTCAAGTCGTGTTCATTTCAGTGCTTTCTGTGTAACTCGAAATGCTTTGAAGTTGATAAATAATTTCTTTGCAGTCTAACAAACTATTTGTCAAACACTAAATTTTCCACATTACTCAATCGAATTGATTTTATGGTTAAAAAAATGTCACACCGTTGTAATCAATATAAAACATACACAAATATGCGTTGGTCTAAGTTGCCATGATAAATCAATACGAGATGAAATCAACAGTAAGAATACCAAGGGACTAAAAATAACTAAATTACCATTGATAGCAAGGAATGCTAAGAATTGGAGAACAGATCGAAGAGGAATAAAAATGCATATATGAAATGAATACTGGAACTCAAAACCTAGGATAAAACAAAGAGTGGATGTTTCTGTGCCATTGAGATCGATTCTGAGACATGTCACCCAAAGCCTTCAGTCACTGAGAGGTTACCTTGCGGACCCTAACCAGGTATTCTGGGGTAACCAACACAGCCTTTAAATGCCGCGGTTTGATCGGAGTGTGGAGAGTTAGCCCTCCCTCTTGAATTGCTCTCAAATGACCACATGCATACAACCACTGACAGAAAAGTCCTACGAACTGCATTCTCTCGGCAGAATTGTTTATGAAATTGAGGATGAAAAGCGAATGTCTAGCACTTTACCCGGTTGGTGGATATGGATGGTCCACCTAGGGGATTTGGAAAACCTTGATTCCAAACTAATGGTGCACATGTGCTCCAGAGTCCTGGGGGAACAAATGGCGTACTAACCTATCGTTGGTCACCGACTACCATGGGACTGCATCTCCTAACGTTGCTTAGGGAGTGAAGTAGTCGAACGCGTCGACAAATTCACTTATCTTGGAAGTCTGATCAGCCCTAATGGGTTGGTGTCTGACGAAATCTCAGCACGGATTCGAAAAGCTCGTTTGGCTTTTGTAAACTTACGTCACCTATGGCGAAGACGAGATATCCGTCTATCAATTAAAGGACGAGTATACTGCACAGCAGTTCGCTCTGTTCTACTTTACGGTTGTGAAACATGGCCATTAAGAGTAGAAGATACTCGTAGGTTACTGTTATTTGACCACAGATGCCTTAGAAATATTGCTCGCATCTGCTGGGATAACCGGGTAAGTAATAGTGAGGTTAGACGCAGGGTATTAGGGAACTATGGTAAATCAGTTGGTGAGGTGATGAATCTTCATCGACTGAGATGGTTGGGCCATGTGTTACGTATGCCTGAACATCGATTACCACGACGCGCTATCATGACTAGTACTGGGGATTGTTGGAAGAGAGTTAGGGGCGGCCAAACCAAAACATGGCATCAGTGTTTGAAGTCACTAACTTCTAGTCTGAGCCATGTAGGTAGATGCAGACTACCTGGTTGGGGTCCGCGTGACTATCGTAACCAATGGTTGGAGACGGTGTGTGACATGGCTCAGAATCGATCACAATGGCGTAGGTGTATACACTCTTTATCTTCCCTTAAACCTTGAGATTAAAATTGCTTCATATCTCTCTTCCTTCCTGTACTATATCCTTATATACAACCTATAATTTATGTACTACTACCACCACTAAATTAATTACTTCTATGAATCCAGTGTTCATCTTGTTGTGCTAACGAGGTATGGCAACTTGGACCGATGCATATATGTGCCTGGTCCTACGTTGTAGCTGACTGACTGACCTAACGTTGCCCTACTGCCTTGTGAACTAGACCTCTAGGTCAAAGGCCCGGAGAGTGGCCCCTTAAGAAAACCGTATCCCAGGCCTTACACAAATCGAATAAAGTGTGGTGTATATATATTTTGGTGCCCCTTTGTACCAATGTAGACGTGTTCAAATAAATAATAAGTACTCTACAGCTCATCCATACAACTCAAACTGACACTCGATTATTTCATGCACTGGTCTTGTCATCTTTATCCGATTTTCAGGGTACTATTAACAATTAATATCTACTACATATACCATTGCACATTCGTGCAAAAAATCGCCTGCTGTAACAGACTGTAACAAGTTTATGAGATTCAATAAATAACTACGTGGCTTATATTTTGTATTGAGAAAACTTAAATGTCGTGGGGACCCACTAAAGTCCGTGGCGTACCACAACCATTAGATGTGTTATAGTCCAATTATCAATGCTGTGACAATAACAATACTTCAAAATTTCATTGCCAGAGGACCTTAACCATTAAGGATTTTAGCTTGAATGACTTATTGCAGTAGTCATGTTCGATTACAATGACGAGGTAGAGAATATCGGTTGTTACAAAATGGATATATATATATATATAGCCCCCAAATGCCCTGGTACGGCCGAGAGTGGGTAGAGTCACCTCTCCCTCTCGAAATACTCTCATATGGCCAGCGAATATATAGTCTCTGCCAGGGAAGTCCTACTCACTGCCTTCTCGTGGCGAGGGTGTTGTTTACGGAAGTGAGAGGACGAAAAGCGAATGTCCGGCGCTTTAACCGGGTTGGTGGACATGGAGGGTCCACCTAGGGGATTTGGAAAACCCTGATTCCAAACCAGTGGTGCACATGGGCTCTAGTATCCTGAGGGAACAAATGGCGTACGAATCAACCGTTGATCACCGGCTACCATGGGACTGCATCTCCTCACGATGCTCCACTTCCTTGTGGATCAGACATTCAGGTCAAAGGCTCAGGGTGTGGCCCCCTAAGAAAACCACCTGCTTCAGTCTGGGCACCTGAGCAGTATCACAGCCCTCACACAAATCGAATGAGATTTGTGAGGCGCATATTTATCTGGTGATTCCTTGTACCAATATTTATGTGTTTAAATATATATATATATAACATTGCAATAAAACAGGCATTTTAAATTCCATAAGTAATCGTACCCAAAAAAGGTCAGCGAAGATTTTTCTCAGAGTATTGGCAGCACGATGAAGACTGAGTTCCTTGTATATATTCAGACGATTAATATCATGAAACTGAAATCAATAAGGCAACTGATATAATAAAAACAAACCTGAGGGCTGTAAAAATATTCATTTCTTAAAACTTTTCTCAGAGATGATAAAATCTGCATCAAATGCCTTCTTTCACACAAAACCCACGTATAGTTATCATCTATAACGTTTTTCAGCAATAAGAATTATCAACTAAGGCAACCTTTGGGTTGTCTTCTAGGAAACGTTTGACATAACTCAGGCACAGACGAACAATTATTGAATGAAGGATTTTGGTTAACTCTTTCCTCTTCAAATGAACACCTAGCATCAGGTCCTCCAACATCTAAGCAACTTTCTTCTACTTCAAAACTATCAAGATTTAAAAAAGAGAATAGCAACAAGTTACTTTGAATGGTAAGGTGACAAGTTGAATATTTCGTTATCACTATCATAATTGCTTTTACTTGAAGATGTGTAGCAATGGTCCACTTCAATTAGAGACCGAACTTTATCAATCTGGGAAAAATCCATAGCTAACCATCAGTTGAGTGTACGGTATGATAAAAAATTGTTAAATATCTGCAAACGTAAAAACGATTGAAAAGTGGGAGTTTAAAAGTTTGATACCAACTGCACATATATAAACACATCAGCATTAGTTGTAATACACACACTAAATATGAATATTCATTAGGAACTATTCATGATAGAAAAGGCTGTCGAGAATTCTGCTAGAAAAGTTTCTTAGATGTGAAGAGAAACTGAACGAACGAAAATGTACTAAACTTAGTCTACTAAAGACGCTCAAGTGGAGTGAGAGACAGTTTTGACTAGCAAACAATGATATGGCTTTCGCTTCAAAAAAAGGGACTCCATTTGTATCGTGATCACTAGCAAATAATCACACAAACGGACTTCTCGAATATCTTCACTAGCTCAACGACAAGAGTACTTAGGATATATTATATCTTTCAGGTTTAGTTTGGAAAAGACAGGAGGCTTAATGGCCTGCGTTAGTCCTGGTAATGATGGTCTCTCAGTTGATCCAACTTTCTTTTGAAAAAATCGACGGATGGAGCCTCAACCACGTGCTGAGGTAATGAATTCCACTCGCTGATGATTCGACGGGAAAGCCGATAGTCAGCTGACAAGTAATTTGTTCTGGGCTTTTGAACTTTTTTGGAGTGTCCTCGTAAGTTTTTTGTGTTGAAAGACAAGAAAAATGAGGGCATATCAGGTGCAAATTTATCACTAAGTAATTTGAAAAATGTAATCGAGTTCTTCGATATGACAGCGGGAATAATTTTAGCTTGGTTAGTATAGCATCATACGGGAGCTTCGCTATTCCGGGAATCGGCTTAGTTGCTGTTCTCTGAACCCTCTCCAAGAGCTCACTGTCTTCATTAAGCAGAGGCTAGCCGCTTGCTTCTCAATGGCTTTTAATTTGGTGACATACATTTTCTTAACGGAGGCAGCCTACAAAGTTTCTGAGATACAATACACTTTATTACACGGCGACATGTACCATGGCGTTTGCGGTACTAGTTTCTTAAAATGGCTAGCCTTGAGGAGGCGCCCAGACCCTAATAGCCCGCGTAGTGTGTTCTGTTTTCCATCATTACGATTGTCTATTAATTGTCCTGCGTTAATCCTTTCACTACGTCTTTCATTGAATATTTTTGTTTATTAAAGTCTTCATTGAATATTTCGATGCAGATTGGTTGGACAGAGTGTTCCAGTTGTTGACCACTTTGTGACAAAATGGTATTCCTACTTCAGATTTTCCCTCACTGTTTTGAAACACTTTGTGATAGCCACAAGAATGATCGTTTTCATAGGTTCAAAAAGCAGGGGATATAGATACGTTATTCGTTATTTGTCAACGCTTTGTCTTGTGTCAGTTACCTGATTAGTTTACGTAGGGTCGACATTTTTTGAAGTCAGTCTTCAGTCTTCAGTAATAAGGATAGTAGGTTGATGAACCTGTGTTAATCCTGACAGATTTCCTTCCAATGAAAGTCCAGCTTCTTCTTGAAAATGTTCACTGATGGTGCTGATACCACTTGTTCTGGTAAAGCGTTCCAGTCATTGATCACTCGATGAGAAAAACGGGACCCCACCTTTAGTTTATTAGATCGCGGTTTCAGAACCTTCTTGCTATGACCTCGGAGATTATTAGTGCTGAAGAGAGCAAAAAGATAAGACATATTAACACCCAGATCATAATTAAAGATACGAAATGCCAGTATAAGGTCACCACGTGTCCTACGATAAGATAAGGGGAAAAGGTTTAGACGTTTCAAACGCTCATCGTAAGGGAGTTTAGAAAGACCCTTTACTAGTTTTGTCCCTACACGCTGGACACGCTCAAGCGATTTAGTATCCTTTATCAGACAAGGGCTAACTGCTTGGATGCAGTATTCTAAGTGTGGCCTTACATAGATGGGATATAAAATTCAAAACATATCCTCGTCGAAGCATTTAAATGCTCTGCGAAGCGACCATAGCGCACGATAGCCTTTGGAAACAACCTCATTGCAGTGCGCAGTAGTTTTCAAGTCGTGACTTATAGTTGCTCCTAAGTCTTTGTGCTCTTGAACACGTGGAAGAGATGTACCATTAATGGTATAGTGGTAATTAATATCGTGCCCGATGTGCATGAACACGCTTTTCCTGGAATTAACTTCCAGGCGCCAATCATGAGCCCACCTAACTAATTCGTCTAAATCTGCTTGCAGATAACAACGATCAGTGAAATAGTTATCAAATGTCTCCGCTTTCGCTAGATCAGATTCAACCAATAAAGCTGAATTTTCGTTTAACAGTAACGGGGGGATACCATCACTACGTTTGGTCCGCCTTTTAACGTACGAAAGCAGGTACAGCTATCGTATGCCAACTGTCGTTCGTAAGCCGTGTGGGATTTAGCTATGGTCTTTTTACATATATTCCGGATTTTTTTTATATTCGCACTTAAATGATGCCTGACCTGTTGACAAGAATAAATCCCAGAAGTGTTTCCTACGCTTCAACAGCTTCCGGGTTTCCTTATTAATCCATGGAGGGCAATATGATAGCTTACGTGCTGACCATGGGATAAACCGTTGAGTTACGGATTCGAACGTAGACTTAAACCTATTCAATGCATCATCAATCGATCCATCAGCATCGACCGATCAGTCAATTGAGATAGCATAGTCCCTGATTGCCGGAATATTAGCTCTCCAGATATTAGGACGGGGTGGAGCAGATGCAAATTCCACACCATGTATCCGGAACTTAAAGGAAAGTACGACATGGTCACTATTCACCAGTGGGGGAAGGTGTTGAATGTCGATGATATCTTCACAGTGGTGTGTGAGGACAAGGTCTATCAATGACGGATTATGTTCCAAGTCTATATGCGTCGGCTTAACGATACATTGTACAAGTGCACATTGAATAATTGATGACAGAAGGACGCTATCAAAACCCCCACCTGGAGCTGTGAGCTCTATCCAATTTATATGGGGTGCATTGAAGTCTCCAACGATGAGACAATATTCTGCCTTACTCCAAGAACAGACGTGTCTTAGGATAAAATCGTCAGCGAGACAACACGGACTACGATATATTCCTCCTATCGTCACTAACCCGTTTTTAGACCTAATTGTACAACATAATACCTCACACGTACCACTTACTTGTGCCTCCGATATGATCGAGTTTATGCAGAAGTGATCCCTAACATATAATATTATACCTCCTCCCTTGCGACTTCTAACTGTATCACTTCTGATACAGATGTAGCCTGAAATGATGGGAGAACAGTCTATATCTACAGTGAGCAAAGTTTCGGTGATAACAATTATATCCGGATTTAAGTCGACTACCATCAAACTTAGTTCACACATCTTATTCCGAATACTAAGAGCATTCGTGTAACACACATTTAAGGTGTTTTTGGAGACATACGTTCTACCCACACAGGTCTCGGAAGCATTGGCTTCCAAGACCTGACTACCCGAAAACCCTTAATCGTAAGGTTCGCTTCACCGTTTAGCTTTCGAGTTTTTAACTCTGTTAGGGCATTCTTCCACTTGATCCGATCCTCAAGTGGCCAGTGAGGTCGAATACGAATGTTTGAGTCACGAGTTTTGCGTGCGTTATTCAGTACTACGTCCCTTTCCTCAAAATTACCGAGTACTAATTTAAGGATCCTTCTCTGTTGGGTTTCGCCTGCAACATATTTACCGAGTTTGATGACTTTCGAGATATGTACCCCTGGGACCTCCTCTGGCAGTATATTTCTGATGAGAGATCCCACTAACCACAGGTCGTGGACATGTCTCTTAGCGGGATCGGTGTCTTTCGATTATTCCAAGTTCCAGGTGATTACACTAGGGACCTGTTTAACTTTCTTAAATGTCGTGTTCACGGCCTTCCACCGTGATGTCAGATTCTGCCGGTTAGCTACCGACTTCTTACTGTTAGCTTTCTTTATAACAGTGTCGTGTGGGTCGAGCGAGTGACTCACAACAACATTTGGTGAAGTCAAACTGTTCCCATCCACAACAGTGCTAAACATTTTCTTACATTTCGATTTGAGCGAAGTTGCCTGATGAGCAGGACGTGAGTCCAACAAGGACTTATCGACTATACGTGCGCTTTCATTGGGTATTTTTCCTTCTCTTTTACGTTTCCGCGTAATCCATTTCCCACTAGACTCAGCATCCAGATTGGAACTATTCTGAACGATAGTGGTTCTAGCCGTGTCATCAGTCGCTGCTAAAGCAACTTGTCCCTCAGTACTTAATGGCGTGTCTTTCATTGGTTGTATCGGAGTAGAAAATTTTGTTTCGTGTTGCGAAATTGGGTGTCTGGTACCTGCCATGGCAGCATTTACAACACTGATACAATCTTCGTTATCAGTATCATCCATCTTCAAAACTAGTACAGCAATCAGAGAAAGAAGTAGTGGTAAGAAATCTGTACTTTGCGACACGTCCACTGGAATAGATCGTCCAAAAGTCTCAAAACATTATTATCTCAGCTTCATCATTACTTTGCGTTTAGAAGTCTAATATGAAGTTTTTTAGCATCAAATAAACTAGGGACAGAATGAATCAAGAAGTAACAGAGTGAATAATTTCTTTAGTAAACTGTCAGATATCTAAGGTGATTGGACATTTTTAACGTCGCTTAATTCCATCACAATTCCTGATACTCGCTTCATCCACATTCATCCTAATTGCGTAGGAACACTGCTAGAATCAGATGTATACTCCTGTCTTTTTACTTGCGCGGAGCATTTCACATGATAGAAAGAAGCAGTACTTATCGAGGACACTACTACTCAATGAAAGCCCATGCCTCAGTCAAACGATGGATCACAAGCTTCGATTGCCAGTTCGAATCTGAACTCTTTCATTCTTTCAATTAACTCTTAAGAATCACTGGATTCTGAGGAACTGCCTGTCACTTACAAGTAATAGTCGAATAGAATGAGTTCACCGACAGTTAAGAGCCTTCATCACAGACTCAAACGTTTCACGACAGATTGATACTCCTCCGCCTTTGGCATTCGAAATTCGTGATCCAGAGAAAGGCGTGTTGGGTGAACTGCATCTGAACTCATTTACTGCAGAACACTTTGACTTCCAGAAGAAATCGTTAATTTCTCATCTTCGTCAACGAATATGGATCTAAACTCATAAGCTGGCCAGCTTACAAACTCTATGAGTTCAGTAAAACCTTCATTCACTTCACTACAGTCAATCTGTAACAAAAGGAATACTTCAAATATCCCTCTTCAGTGATTTTCGACGATATTGCCATTTTGTGAATTTTGTTGTGACATGTATATTCAGTGATGTTTCGTAACGACAAAATAAAGGTCACATACTTTTCCTATTTGCCACACTTTATATGTAACCACATTTATATTCAGTATTTATTGTTCCCTACATCATTGATAAAGAAACCTATATAATTGTTTGCTTATATCTAAAATACTTACATTACCGCGATTGTTGAAATATAAACGCTATCTTCACCGTCTATCCTTCTGCTTTATTGGCCACGGCCTTTGGTTGAAGATTATAATAGTATTATACCATCCTTTTAGGCCTTCTCACATTACGTTGGTGTTTTGGCTCGAATCACTATTAAATAATACTAGCGGACTTAATCTTCCTCTTTACGCTCTTGGTGCCACCTCGGACAAAGGAACTTTGTTAATCAAGTGAACTTATTTGTGGTCGTTATCTCAGAGAGCAGCTTACAAGTAACATGCATTTTATAACAACTATTACCATTTTTGTTGTTCAATATACCGTTTTATATTTTAAATGTAATTTGCTACCTTTCGAGTTGCTCATAAACATACGTTAAGTTGGTAGCGTCGACTTTTTTTCGTATATCATTGGTAATTTTGAATATTGTTATACCTTGAGCAGGCTTTTTCGCTGGGGTCCACCACAATTTCTACCCTTGCTTTGTATGTTGACTTCTATTCAGGATTCACTTAACCATATTCAAATATTTGATGATTTTCTTTCGCTAGACCTATATCTTTAGGATCTGGTTAAGATTTGCCTTTCTCGTTTTCGTTGTTGTATTAT